GGTCATAGCCCTACTAGCCTTTTTATGCAAGTTTAACAAAGAATGTGACTGTAACAGAGATTCAAACCATGTTTCAACGTCTAGCGCCCTCATGAAGTTTTCCAAACAAAATACATAGCGCCCTCATGAAATATATACACCCCCCCAAAAAAGAAAGAAAACTTGTGGCATTTTTGGTTTGCGGTTGTCAAGTGCGAATTGCACAGTTGTGATCTTGTTTTCGTAGAGAGTTGCAGAACAATGCAAATTCTAATGAGTAAGTAGGTGTAAAATGTTCCCTTCTGTGACCGGAGGAGAAAAGTACGTACAGGAGGTACATATATGTACATGTATGTACATGCACGTTACCTTCTTCACCTTGATCAGGTGGGTTGTTTGGGTTTTTTTTTTCACATTTCCCAGCTGGATTGTTTGGTTGTACCGGTAGGGGGAAACCTTCATAAGTTGCATCTTTTAAACAGGACAAAGAAGGAGTCCTTGCAGTAGTTTTTAGTGCCAAGGTGATAAATGTAAATTTTACACTGAAAACGATCTGGTGGCGTTATCTTGGCATTATTCTATTCAACTGAGATAGATGGGAAACGGTTGTATCCATTAATACAATATGTGTGCTTGCTAAACTGTATAAATTTCTCACTTATAACCTCTGTGTTTATTGTAATACTCTACCATATGGCTCAACTAAATATTTGCCTGTACCTCCGCTTGTCTGGTTTAATTTGTTTGAAAAATTCTTATCTTGTAACTTCTACACCTGGCCCATTTTCATGGGCATTCTGCCAAATGTCAGGTGCGCTCCAGACTATTTTTGCATTGAAAGTAGTTCTTGACCCTGTGCAGAAAAATAAGACACTGAAATTATTGCTCCAAGCATCTCCAGTAACTTCCCAAAGCAACTGCATACATGGTGTCACATGTAGAGTTTGTTTTTGTTCATGCTGTTTTCTAAAGATTGTTTTGGCTGTTGTTTTGGACTCTCTTTTATTAACCTTATTTTAAATTTGTTGAGCCTTTCTGTATAAGCTTTGGGCATGCCGTTTTATGTGGCACATTGCATTGGTGTTTCGCACAACTTGGAATGTTTTTCAGGTGCGTGCCATCTAAGCATGTATTAAAATGGCAACGTCTTACATCATTCAGAGTTTTTAGCACTTGAAGTGGAGTTTGATACAATGCCCCTGTACATAAGATTGTTCAATCATATGTAACGTAAAATCTTCTAAAATCATTCTGCCATACTATTTCTTTCATGCTGAGACAGGCACATTGGATATTTGTCCTTTCATTAATCTTGATAGAGCAGGAATGATTTTCTGTCCGTTGAAGATTCGGAGGTGTGTCAGTTGTAAGGTTGGCATTTTATTTATAAAAACGTGTATGAGCACAACAATGCAAATGGATGCACCAGCAGGTTTGCTGTGTATAGCTTTAATACCGTGTGATGTGATAGTGGCTGTTTAGAAGCATGAAATACTGGATTTAAACAGAAAATAGCAATAGCATGAAATAAATCGATATTTGACTTTATTATTGGCGAGGTATTTAACCATGATTTGCACTTCACAAAGATTTTGTTGTAAAAGAAGGAACATTGCTAAAGCATCAATTTTTTCCACCTTGATGCTGAACCAGGGACTACCGGTACATGTTTCTGGAACACATGTACATCATTTACTTTCAAAGTTTACTTGTATGGTGTATAACGAGGTAAAAAATAAATTAATCTTGATATTTAAGGTTATTATGGGTTACACTGGTCATCGTTAGCTTGACCAGTTGAGGTTCGCAAATGCGGCCCTAAAATACCAAGCTTTTACCAACTTTGACAGTGTCTGTATAGAGGTATTAATTTCTGCAGCTGAAAATATTTATTGCGGCAGTCAAATGTTCATGGCAAACTGGAAACAAATATATGTAGTTGGCATATTAATTTGATGCATGACGTACATGATCACTTACATGTACATGATTTATTGTACCGTCATTTCAGTGTTGCAGTAACTGGTCTGTATGAAATAAATGTACATGTGCACACATGTACAAAAGTAACTAGAATTTCTCCACCTATGTACATGTAGAATCTGGTATATCGAGGTCCTTTACCGTTACTTTTCAGAGATAAGAGGATATCTGACAATATCTGATGTGCACAATAAAGTCAGCCTGTAGATAGAGATCTATGAGATTGGTGAATATGTATTTTGTAGTGAAAATGCAGTTGGATTTATACATGTAGACGGAATACCTAATGACGGAGGTCTCCTAGGTTGGAGTCCCGGATAATTTAGAGATATCCAGGAAGAGGGAAACTTGTGGTTAGTAGGATCGAGTTACATGGTGGTCATCATGCCAAGAAGATGAAATAAAATTGAAGAATTTTACTTTGATTTTTAAAAAAAAAAAGAGCAAAAGTCACTCTGCCAGATCTGAAGCCTCAAAAATAAGCGTGAGTGTGATACACTTTCTACGTAAAAATGTTTGAAGTATGAGCACCAATCAAATGTCAGCTAAACACATACAAACGTATGCATGCTCTTCTGTTCCAACCATGGGAAATTGAAACATACATGTGTCAAAACAAACAGAGGCCCATTGATAGATTCAGCAATGAACAAACCAAAAAATACATGAGATAAATTTAGGGATTCATGAACTAGAAAAAATATTTTTGTTTTATATTTATTCATTCAAATACCGCAGTCGCGGTCACATCTAAACCCAGGATGACGTTTTCCTCATGAAGATAGAGGCCATTAGCATAAATCCTCAAAGGCACTTTCAGTATGGTAAATAGTGTCTGAAGAAAAGATTAACAGCGCCAAAACGTTTATAGCAAGAATTTTTTCAATAAATTTTTGTCAATGAATTTTTTTAAGGTTAAGAACCTGAAAATTCCATCCTAAGCAAATCTGTTCTCCAAGGGCAGGACTTCCTAAAGCATGGTCTATAATGCTCTGCAATGAAAAAAGATGATGTCAATGCAGAAGTATTGCCCATGAACACACATACATGTACATGTAGCACATCAAGCAAGGGGTCAGACTCAATATTATAAGGGCGATGCCTGGTGGAGGGGGACCCCCAAAATGGGGGGGGGATAATGAAAAACAGGCCATGTTGATTTCATTTCTCTTGCCAAAGTGTCTAAAAAGCCTTGAAACGTAGCCTTATCCCTCAGACAGGCCACACAAGTATAAGGATAGATAGAAAATTTCCCAATATTTTGGCTGCCAGTAAATATTGCCCCCCCCCAAAAAAAATTTGGTATTTGACCTAGGTAAGGGTTCACATTTTGTCTGGACGAATATTTCACTTTGTTCAAGACCTTCACTTTCGGCACAACGAATTGGAGTCTGGATTTTCTCTGACATATCCAAGAGGTGTATAAGAATCCAAATGGGAGTACTATGAGTCATACACACTTCTATCATGTCTATGACACAGCTGGTTGATGTCAGTAACACAGTGCAATAAGATTTACTGTAATGCTCTGTGCACAGAACATGTACACAACAAATATGTCAAAATTTCATTATAAACAAATCGGTCATTCACCCCTTTGCATTAACTTGGCGTATGGTACATGCCACTAGAAATGCGTAACTCTTATAACAAGCATTCTCTTTTTTGGTCTCTAAGTACATGTATATATACATGTACTTGCACTTGAAGACCAGAAATGAACCCTTGACTTTCACCGAGGAAACAAGGACTTTGACTTTACATGTAAATAAAGCCCGGAACACTTGAACATCCACGTATGCCATGCAATCAATGCCACCCTAGATAACGCAGGACTATCAAGAAGAAAAAGAAGGCAAACTACACTGGAGAAAAACACTGGAATTGGCGTTTCTGTGTCATCTTTACATTTAGGACCACAAGATGAACACATGGTAATCTCAAAGGCAGATCCGTAGTCTTGGTTCTGAGACCTTCATGCTCAGTTTTTGTCCCTTTACACCCCTCAATAAAAGTGTTGTTTTGACCTGAATGTTTCTCTGAACATTACTTTTGAAGCTATTTGGATGAACATGAAATAAAATGGAGTGGGGCGTTGAGATATTGTGTGCTTTTATAGTGATGTTCTAGGTTTACGATGTGAGGTTCCAAGCTAGTAATGTGAGGTTCTATAAGCTGATGATGTGACATTCCAGGCTTATGACACAAGGTTATAGGCTTAAGATATGAGTTTCTATAGAGCTAAGCTTCACATGTGAGGTACCATACTAGCTTGTATAGCGAGAGGCTCCAGGCTGATGATGTGAGGTTCTAGGCACCCGATATGAGGTCCCAAGGTTGGGACGTCAGGTTCTATCGCACGTTGGCATCAGCCAGGGTCGGTGCCACACACAGCCCCTTGCCTTCCACTTTAAAGGGTGAACCCTTGTAGCAGGCAACCTTATTGGCATCTGTCTTGAGGTGGGGCTTGATCTGCTCAAAGATCTTCTTCTTGGGATTCATCTGTGGGGGAAAGTCATCACCCACTAGAAAGAAAGAGCAAAGAGACAAGGTAACTGTACAGTACAATAAGCTCTCATCCGACCTCTCTTATATATACACACTTGAAAACCCTTTTATATAAAAATACATCTACATTGTGATTCAAAGCTGTATTTCTACCGGTATGTTTATCAAGCAATCTTTTTGAGCCTGTTGTTGAATATGTTCTTCTCAGAACCACGCAATTGAAACATGAGATTTCAATTTCAACTTATTGCCCACACTGAAAAGCATAGAAATTCAACTTCCACTGGCAGTTCTGAAAAGGGCTATGAAACCATTCAAATACAGATTGGCGTTACTATTAACCTTTTGTATTTCATGTCTACCGTGCAAAGCTATACAAGTCTTATCTATTAAACTCTTCCTTCTCCTCAATGGAAAACTACAAAAAATTTCTTACTTGGTGAAAAACCTGGAACTAGTCATCTATGAGAAACATACATGTACATGTATGTTCCATGACAATGACAATGACATGGCAAAAGCCTGTACGTGCTTCATAAAATGTAGTCAAGGTTATTCATATACCACAGAGGTTAAAACACTGTTAAGTAATCTCCCAAAAAGAAAACATTAAAACTAAAATAACAATTAAACAAGAAAGAATCTCCCCCTATACGTCCATTGACAATTGTTCATATTATCAATCTACGAGAGACTAGAGGTTTCATAACAATATCTGCCTCTTCAATTTTCAGGGTTGTGTTGGGGAAAAAATGAGACTGTACATGTACATACTGTACATGTAGTTCTGACCTGTGCATGTATGTGCATCCCTCTTAAATTCATTAACCACTACCAGCCGGGGACTCCGAAATCGGAGCCGTATGGTTTATATGTGTGGCCGGGTCTCCGAACTCGGACAAAGGAAACAGGGACCTGTAACAAAAGATCGTACTTCGAACAAAAGACCAGGCTGCTGGGCATG